GGTGGTCAGTGGTTGGCAACCACCAGCTGCTTCACAGAAGAAAGTCTCTATTTTCTGGAAGCCTAGTAGAGGTTTACTATGAGTTGGAATATACTCAGTGGAAGTAGGGTAGTTTTTAGGGTTTGTTGTTGTTTGTTTGTTTCCAATCAAACAATCTTTGTTTTCTCTTCTGAGAAATAACTAGAAGTAGTGATCCTGCTTTGATGACTTAGTGGCAAGAAGCTGCTGCCATCCCAAAGGCATGTGGTTCGAGGTGACAGCTGCTTCTGGGAGAAAGATGGGCAGTCTCCTCCCAGGCAATTAACTGCCTCTGAAAATCTGCTGGAGGGTCAGCTCCTACTCTATGGTACACAGCAACAACAACAAACCTTAACCAAAAGGGATATTCTTAAATCCTGTTATTGTTGTTGTTAGTTGAGATCAAGTTGAGTACGGCTCCTAGTGACCCTATGAACAACAGGTCTGAACCATGTCCTACTCTGTGCCATCCTCATCATTTCTGACATACTTGAGCCCATTGCTGCAGTCACTGTGTCAATCCATCTAACTGAGGGTCTTTCTTTCTTTCATTGATCTTCCACCTTTCCAAGCATGATGTCTCTTTACAAAGAATAGACTCTCCTAGCAACGTACCCAAAGTGGGTGAAAGAAAGTTTCATTAACATACTTATTAACTTACTTGTTTCTATTCCCAAGAATCCAATAATCCAACAGAATATGGAAATTATTAAAACTGAGAAGAATGGGAATCCCAGAACATTTAATTGTGCTAATGTGAAACCTATACTTGGACCAAGAGGCAGTACTCAGAACAGAGTAGGGCAACACTGCATGGTTCAAAATTGGGAAGGGTGTACGCCAGGGATGTGTCCTGTCTCCATACCTTTTCAACCTGTATGCAGAGCAGATTATCCGAGAGGCTGGGCTCTATGAGGAGAAGCATGGCATTAGGATTGGTGGACGATCTATCAACAATCTGAGCTATGCAGATGACACAACCCTGCTCGCTGAAACTGAGGAGGACCTCATGCACTTACTGCAGAGGGTCAAGGACTGCAGCCTTCAATATGGACTGAGGCTCAACGTCAAGAAGACAAAGATTCTCACCACTGGACCAATCGGTAGCATCAGGATGGATGGTGAAGAGACTGAGATTGTTCACAGCTTCAGTTTGCTTGGCTCCATGGTCAACACTCTTGGCACCAGTAGCCAGGAAATCAAAAAACGTATTGCAATGGGAAAGTCTGCTGTTAGGGACCTCTCTAAAGTACTCAAGAGCAACGGTGTCTCTCTGGAGACTAAGGTGTGCCTGATACAGGCCATGGTTTTTGCAATCACTTGTTATGCATCAGAGAGGTGGACAATGACTAGGGAGGATAGAAGGAGAATTGATGCCTTTGAGCTGTGGTGCTGGAGAAGAGTATTGAATGTACCATGGACTGCCAAGAAAACAAAAAGATTCATCCTAGAGAGGGTTAAACCAGGTTGCTCCTTGGAGGCAAGGATTCTGGGGCTTTGCCTGACCTACTTTGGACATGTTGTAAGGAGAGACAGGTCTTTAGAGAGGGACATCATGCTGGGCAGAGTGGAGGGACAGCGCAGGAGGGGCAGACCCTCTATGAGGTGGATTGATTCAGTGACTGGGGTAATCGGGATGGGTGTGTCAGAGGCAATGAGATTGGCACAGGATAGAGCAGGGTTTAGGGCTGTTGTACATGGGGTCGCTATGAGTCGCAAATGACTCGACGGCACATAACAACAGCAACAACAAATTGTTACTATCACATATAAGCAGTAGGTTTCTGAAGATCATTTTAAAATGGCTAGAACAGTACATAGAGAACTGCCAGAAGTTCAGTCTGGATTTAGAAGAGGCCATAGCACCCCGGCCACATGGAGGGTAGAGGGGCGAATCTTATTAATGAAATATTGTTCATGCCTGTTCATCATTTGTTTGTTGTCATTAACAAGATTGGTAATCTTTGAAGTAGCAAGAACTGTCAATGAATGCAGCAGATGGACATGCTGGACAAATAAAGAATTGACAAATGGAGTCTAACCTTGCTCACTGAAAGTGAAGAAGATCAGAAGCACTTCCTGCAAAAGACCAAAGACTACAGTCTTCAATATGGATTACATCTCAACATTAAGAAAGCAAATATCCTTACCACTGGGCCAGTAGGCAACACGATGGTACATGGAGAAAGGATTGAAATTGTCAGTGAATCTTAACACAATCAACCGTCCACAATCAAAATCCTTGTTACCAGCAACCAAGAAATCAAAAGACATTGTATCACAGTGGGGAAGCCTGCTAGCAAGAACCTCTCCAAAGTTCTATGTAGCAATGATGTCACTTTAAAGACGAAGTTGTCTTAATCTAATCCATGGTCTGAAAGTTACTTGCTGTACATCTCAAAGTTGGACAGTGACTAAGGATGATAGAAATATTGATGCTTTTGAGTTGTGATATTGGAAATAGTTCTGATGATCCCATGGCCTATTAAAAGAACAAGCAAATATGTCTTGGAGAAAGTCCAACCAAGGTGATCTTGAGAGGCAAAGATGGGCACATTTCATCACACATACTTTGGGTGTATTGTAGGGAGAAGTCAGACCTTAGAAAAAAAAAACCCAAACATTTTCCTTGTTAAGGACTAGCATCAGGGAAGCAGAGGAAGATCTTCAGGAAGATGGATTGTAACAATGAACTTCAAGTATATTGGAAATGATGAGATTGATACAGAACAGGACAGGGTATGGATCTACCAGTCAATGGGTCTCTTTGGGCAGTGGTCAACTCGATGGCAACTAACAAGAAGTCTGAAGGCACAGAAAGAGTCATCAACAACCAGCATTATGATTACCCTTCAACATCAAGAAAACAGAAATCTTCACAACTGGATAGGGAATGATTTCGTTTACTTGGATCCACAGTCACTGCACATGGTAGCAGCAGTCAAAAAACCAAGAGATGCATCTTGAAATCTGTCAAGGACCACTTGAAAGTGCTAACAAGAAGCAAAGATGTCTGTCTAAACTAAACTACACCTGACCCAAGCCATGAGGTTTTCAATTACTTCATAGAATTCAAGAGTACAGAATTGCAAAAAAGAAAAACAAATCTATCCTGGAAGTAGTGCAACTGGGATGCTCCTTAGAGGCAACAGTGGCAAAATTTAATCTTATGTCCATTGGACGTGTTGTAATGAGGTGCCTCTCCCTAAAAAAGCCTTCATGCTGGGAAAAGTAAAGGATCAGTGAAAGATAGGAAGACCCAAGGACTGAAAATGAAAACATTCCAGGGCCACCAGTAGCCAGAGCAAGAAGAATTTGACGTTTCTAAGCACTTAAATAATGTTCTTAAGATACTTAAGAGTCATTTAAAAAAAAAAAACAACCCACAAAACATTAAAATAGGTATACCCAATTTTACCATTTTATAAAAATAGGAAATAGCTAGTACATTTTCATAAAACATATTTAAAATAATAACAACTATATGGTGAATCATAATCTTTAATTTATGTCATCTAATTATCCTACTCAACAGCACACACATTTATCCTTAAGATAACCTTGAGAGGTGGTAGAGATGGTGTTAGGTGCTGTAGACTACAGAGCATACCCTTTGAACAGCAGATCAAAACCTTGCTCTGTCTTGTGCCATCCATGATCTCCATCATGTTCAAAAGTATTTGACTTTATTATGTCTGTTTTACATAAGAGAAAGTTATACCTCAGAGGTTTTATGCAGCACAAAATGTTGTAGAATAAAGAACTTGAAGCCAAATCTAAATAGTAGATACAGTATCTGATACACTTGTATAAATGAAATTGTTTTGCATCTCACAACAGCAAGCCTTTACAGTAAGCCTGCTATTATCATCTCCACTTGAGACCCAGGAATATGAAGCCATTTCCAAATAACTGTTAAGTAGCAACTGTTTAATATTCTGTTATTAGTGTTATGTTTTCGTGGGGGTTTTTTGGTCTGGAAAATGAACTAATGAGAAGTATTTCAAGGATTGGACAAGTAAGTTTCACCAAATAATCCTAGGCTTTTAAAAATTTCTCCTACCATATTGGAACAGCGAAACTTTTCCAACAGATTTCACACAAAGCTGAGCTAATAACTTTGCTAAACTTTGAGATTTATTTGAGATTTATTGTTGAAAGGTAATACCAATAAAAGTTACCTGTTACTGAACACTTGTTAAATGCCAGCATTATTTTGGCCCTTTGTAGGCATTCACTCATTTAACTTTTATACCACTTGTATAAAGAGCATATTGTTGTTAGCTCCATTTTGCAGTGAGGAGTCTGAAGCACAGGGAAGTAAAATAACACGAGCAAGATTACCCAAAACTAAAACAAGACTCTCTGTGATAGAGTCGCTCCCAATTTGTAGAGACCATGTTGGACAGAGTAGAACTACTCCTTAGGATTTCCAACGCTTTAAATCTTTTTGGAAGCCGGCCGGTTTTTTCCTGCCACAGGACAACTAGTAAAAGGCAAACCATCAGCTTTTGTCGTCGCAACTCAGTGCTTAACCACTGCGCCATCATGGCTTCGCTACCCAGTTCCAAATGGCAGAGCAGGGGTTAACATCAGTCAGGCAAACTCTGGAGTCCAAATGCCCGTCTGCTGCACTGTGTGTACTACTTTCTCCTGAAAGAACTGCAAGCCTAAATTTCTATTCTGGACTATGAATCATCTACTCTTCATACTGTGTTTCACTTTATTTTTTTAAATCGATCGAGAAAAAGAACTAGCATTCTACGGACTGAACAAAAATACATGCAACATTGAATCATTGGCATTTTTATGACTAGTAAAGTCAAATGAAAAGCTGTAATTGAAATGAAAAGCTGTAATTTTGTAAGTGTCCACAAGATGGTGAAATTTTCATTAGCTTTTAATTTCTTGAAACACAAACTGTTAATTTATAATCTGCATTTGACACTATTTATTGTAAGCACCTTAATTTATTTTTACAGCCCATCTGCTGACAAGGCCAAGATTAGAACAGCCCACAGGAGAATCATGATTTTGAACCACCCAGATAAAGGTAGGGAAAATTCCTATCTTTCGTATTGTGAGGATGAAAATATGCTCTGAACTCCATTTAATTTACTTACTTTATTATAAGTGATATGTAACTGAGATAGGAGTGTGTTTACCTCAAGTGTGGTGATTATTCTTTATAAATAAATGAACCTTTCAGTTGGAGATAAGTAAGCCAAGAAATGGTGAATTTGTGTTACCAGTGTTTGAAAACTTGTTGCTGGGTATTTCATAGATAAATGTCTGTTCTCTGTTTGAGGTTCACAGCATTTTGCTTGAGAGAAAGAAAACATGACTTGTAGACTCTTTGGTGATTTGAGTATCATGAATTATATGTGTTTAACCTTAAACACAAAGACACTTTTAGCAGATATGTTCTAAATCTCTGAATGTAATATATAATAGATGAATGTGAGTTTTGAAATTTTGTTCTGGAGAGCATTGAAACGGAGCTATTTGTTTTTAACTGGCCATATTTTTAAAGTAAATTTATCTTACAGAAAGACAATTATTATAACTTTAACTACCCTACAGCTGCTTGAAAGAGAAAGCCCATATGTTCGTTACTGTCTCCGCTTTAAAATAACAGATGGTTGAAAGTTGCACTGTATTTCAGAAGTCAAGGCAGGGCGAGGATAGTGAAGGGTTTCTTGGATTCTTATTTACAAAATCAGTGTTCCAATTATTTTTGGGGAAAAAAATAAAAGCAAATCTTGATTCCTGCCCATCTACACTGACAGCAACATAAGATGTTTCTTTTTTCAGCTTTCTCACTTAATTACTTACTATAAAATTTCTTTTCACTAAACATCATCTTCCTTGGGTTTTGCACTTGCTATGTTTTTAGTGTGAATAAATAAGTAAATCCGTTTTTAAAAGAGGTTTTGCTTAAAATTTCTAAACAGCTTGAGCAGTCACTGGCAGATCCACTCAGCTAATTCATACTGTAAATTCTTAGAGTGCAGGCAATCCCCATATTGCAAATATCCGATTTCAGACAATTCTTTCTTGGCCTTTAATGTTATGTGAGTTTGTACTTACTCTGAAAGAATTGAACCAACCCCTGTCAGAACAAATTCTTCTTTATAGTCCCCTTCACTGGCAGCTTTTAAATTTCTTGTACTAAAAGGGAGGCTTGTAAGTATGGGGCAGGACCTGGTAGTGTCTTCTGCTGTATTCCACAGCACCTAACAACAATAATAAAGTAAGACTAAATAAGAGCCATATACACCTATTCCTAGTTAATACCAGTTGGCCTTAAAGACCAAGAAGGAACTGAACTCGTTTGTAACCTGAGGAAGAGCCATAATTGACTTAGAAGGAAAGGTGGTAAGGACCTTCCACTTAAGGCCCTTTTCTCCGAAACAGTCGATTTTTCTTTTGGGTCAAGTGTGTGCTGGGCTCTGACTGATTGCAGTAGGATCAAGCACTCATATCTTTCAGATGTCTGATGTGTTGTTGAATGTTTGCTTGCAAGAAAGCACACTCAAAATGTATCTACAAAAGCATGCATTTTTAGAAACCTTTAATACATATTTTATGATGTAAAAGTATTTCAATAATTACTTGATTTAGTCCCAGATTATAGTACCAGGACTGCTGTTGACCCCTTTTGAGCAAATTAGTGTATTTCTACCTGGCCCTGTTGGGTATCGTGGTGTGAGGGAATGTCAAGGAGTAGAAAGCCAGCATTTTCCTCTGGCTTCTGCCTAGCACCTGACAGTGTAATTGTGAGTATTCTCGTAACCTCTCAAATTTTAGTGTCTCCGGAAAGAAGGGCATTATTTCCAATGTCTTTTGGCTACATGATTTAATGTAAAATCTTTATATTCCAATCATATTTTTAATTCAAGAAAGATACTCCATCTTTTTTGGATTATTGTACCTTCTAAGAATGTGGTATGAACTATGGGCATTTTTTTCCATGTAATTGTTTATTTCCTCACAATTTTTAAAATTCTAAAACTTTGCAGTTTAAGGGAGTTCATAGATTTTCTGAAACCCATCGACCAACTCTTTGTTAAGAAAGCCCGCTCTAATAGAAGTCTAGTGAATTAAGGAATGTTCTAACCACTGGAAGCGGCACATTTTGAGGAGACAGTGAATTCATGAATCTGGAAATTGTCTCTTGAGAAGGAAGGTCTTGTCTCTTTTTCTTTAAATGGGAGAGGATAATAGATCTTTAACCAAACTCTTCAGTGTCCTTGAGAGTGAAAGATAAGAGTATTTTTGGAAATATGAGAATGGAAAGCTCTTAGCCCTATCAGCTCTTTTGCTTGTTCATCATGTTTGCTTTCTCCAAGATGCTATATAGGCGGCTACAAAAGGAAAATTATAAACCTCGTGCTTCTAAAGTTCCCCAGCATGCTCTTCTACCACTTGCCTGTGGGTTTTGTTGTTAGCTGGTAGGGTGAATTTGGGACTTTTATATGTGTGATCAGCTATAGTTTGTTACACATTTCATTAACAGCTTGAGTAAAGAAAGTAACACCAGAAAATTAGGTGTGGGGAATGGCTGAAAAGAATTTTTTTTGTATCCAGTATTAAATGAGCATCCAGATGTGTTTGGATAAAACGTGAAATTTGCTTTCAGTTTAGTGAGATAAAAAATTAATGAAGTAAACACATCTCAGGTCCTTAATCTGATGCTTTCAGACTAGTATCTTTTTTTTTTTTCCAGAGTAGTGTCTTTTAGATTACTTCCTTTCTTAAAGCTGCAGGATGAGATTCATTGTTAGGATATCTAGAGTTGTGTATTAATGGTCAATGAGTATAGACAGGAGACAAACCAGGTCAATTTTCAGAGATTCTTGGATGTTATCTAATCCATTACTAATCAAAATGTAGTGTGCCTGTCAGCGCTAATCGATGGTTTGCCACCAGTGTGCACGTTGAAAACAGAAATGGAAGATGAGTGTTTAGACAACTTTATGTTACTATGATGTCAAAATGTATGATACTTTTGAAATTATTTTTTGAAAGATACTTTTCAAAATATCTCTAGATATTATCAAGCTCTGGTGGCGTAGTGGCAAGAAGCTGCGCTGCAGTCCCAAAGACATGTGGTTCAAGGCCACCAAATGCTCTGGAGAGAAGAATGGACAGTCTCCTTCTGTCCTATGAACTGACTCTGAAAACCGACCAGCCAGTCAACTATGGGTTGGTTCCGACTCTACAGTACACAACAACAACAACAACAAGAAGTAGTTTTTGAAAGATGCTAAGTATTGGCTCACCACAGATTGAAAATTTTTTTAGAAAGTAAAACTTTGCCAAAATAGTTTGATAAATACTTGTGTAAATAGATAATGGAGCTCTATAAACATTCAAGAACTCTTCATGTTTGTCATGGGAGACAATGACCTTTTAACTCTCCTTAAAGACTTTCAATGAGGCATTAGTTGCTCATTGACATAATTCTGTCCTTCTGCATAGGAGACTTAGGTTTGATTCCTGTATGCCTCATGTACAGACACTGCTCCCCAGTCTCTGGAGGCCTATGTGTTGCTATGCTTCTGACCAAGCAGGGGCTTGGACTGGTGGACATCGCTATCTACTTGTAAAGACCATCCTATGAAAACTCTGAATCACAACAGTCCAGTCTACTGCAGTCATAGAGGTGGTTAAAATCTGGGCTACCATGAATTGTAGATCAACCAAGGAAACAAACAAAAAGAAAACTTCTAGTGATGGAGAGCTGCCTGCCTGCACTGCCGATCAGTTACTTAGAACATTCTGATCCTTGGCTGAAGTTGGCTTGCTTTTCAATTTGTGCCCTCTCAAGAAACATACCATACTTTCATTTTTCTTTAATAGTATTTATAATGAAATTAAATATTGGGATTAAGAACAGTTCAGATGTGGCGACTGCCTCAGTGGGCTATTGAGTGTCAAGAAGTGTGCAAGGGGGATGGCACAGGATAGAACAGGGTTCAGATCTTTTGTTCATAGGGTCACCATGAATCATACTCCACTCAGTAGCACCTAACAACAACAACAATAGTCAAATGTATTTATAGGATATTGCTAGAAATTCAAGCTGGATTCAGAAGAGATCATGGAACAGGGATTTCATTGCTGATGTCAGATGGATCATGGCTGAAAGCTGAGAATACCAGAAAGATGTTTGTTATGCAAATGTACTTGTGTAGCTTGTAAGACATTATTGATAATATTGCAAAGAATGGGAATTCCAAAACAACATGGTCATGCAGAACCTGTATGTGGGCCAAGAAGCTGCTGATTGAACACAGCAAAGGAAATACTGCATGATTTCAAATTAGGAAAAGTGTACTTCAGGATTCTATCCTTCCGCCATACCTATTCAATCTGCTTAGCAAGCAGTATAAGAAACCAGACTATATGAAGAATGTTTTATCAGGATTGGAGGCAGATTGATCCACAACCTATGATACAGAGACATAGCTTTCATGCTGAAGGGGAAGACGACTTGAAGTACTAAAGATCAGTAACTATAGCCATCAGTAGGGATTTAAAAATCTTCATAACTGGACCATTAAGCCACATCATAATAAATGTGGAAAAGGGGAGGAAAAACCCAACCCAACCAAACACCCCAAAAAAACCCAAATCAGAGTAATTATACTGTTGTTGTTATGTGCTATCAAGTTGTTTGCAACTCATAGCAACCCTATGTACAAGAGCCCTAAACCTTTCTCTATCCCTTGTCAATCTCATTGTCTCCAACACTCTTATCCCCATTACCCAGTGACGGAATCAATCCATCTCATTGAGGGTCTTCCTTTCCTGCACGGTCCTTCCACCCTCCCAAGCATGATGTCCCTCTGCAAGGACCGGTTCCTCCTTGTAACATGTCCAAAGTATGTCAGATGAATGAATTTTCTTTACTTACTATCACTTTAGATGAAGCTAAATTTAATATAAAGGCTTGAGAGAATGAATGCCTTTGAGCTGTGATGCTGGAGAAGAGTATTGAATATACCATGGACTGCTAGGAGAACAAACAGGTTCATTCTAGAGAGG